AATTTTCTTAGTACTAATGCATGTTGATGGTTCATTTGGGTCTCTAACACATAACCATATCACCATTAGGTTATTTTGTTTTTAAAAATATCTTTTAGGTAAATGTGAGCTCCTAAAAATTTAAACTTAAATTGACATGGTGAGCAGGACTGATGGCACATACCTGTTATCCCAGCATTTGGGAGGCTGAGGAAAGGAGGGTCACCATGAGTTCAAGGCCAGCCTGAACTGCATAGCGAGACAAAAAGGGGACAGTTGTAAAGCTCAATGTGGTGATTATGTTTCCCACTTAGCAGTGCTAAGGACTTTATGTATTCCATGCATATTCTTAGCCTATCATGAGGATCTTAGATTAGAGAGGCCGTGGGGCACATACAGCGAGAGAGAGGGCCACCGTGTAGAAACAGACCTGCGCTGCATTGCCCCATAAATTCGCCCCTCTCAGAAACGCTGTGTTACTGTCGGTGGCACCTGCTGTGCCTTGTACCCTGATTTTCTCCATCTTTTCTTCCCACTCCAGAAAGTCCCCAGTCTTCTCTTCTCATTCCTGGGATTTCTGCTTCATCCTTTGCACAGCTGCTGTGTGCAGGAGACACTGCGAGGTCTGCTCGCCTCTCCTGATCTCTTGCGCAGTCAGCACTGGACAGTCCTCTCCCCACACTGCTCCCCGCACATGCTGGGAGGACAGAACTCTGGCGCCTGACCTGCAGGTTTCCCTCCATGTTCCTCGCACTTTTTTACTGCCTCTTTTAGGATCTCCCAAACAGCTAAGCCACCCGTGCCCCACCCCACCACACCCCCTGCCTCCTTTGGTTGCTTGAAGGCCCTGCTCAGTTCACTGTCCTCCAGATGGCCCAGCCTCAGAGCTGCTGCCCTTACCGAGGGCCGCGCCTCTCAGCTCCTTGTGTCCCTCTTCCTGCACTTAGTCTTTGCTGCGGTCTTGGCTAAGTACCCTTTTCACTTCCACAGAGCGCATGCGTGGGAAAGCGCAGTACTCAGTCATGTTCACCAGGCAGGCGTGCCCGGTCTGCAGCTTTGCTTTCTTCTGATCTGCACACAGCAGGTGCTCGGTGACAGTCACCTCAAGGCAGGAGCCAAGGAGTTACCTAAGCTGACACATGAGCAAGTAGAAATTGGAAGGAGCATATGAAATTTTCGTTACAGACTACAGTTCTTTTTCTCCTTTGTTTTGGTTCGGTTCTGTTCAGTTGGATTTAGTGGCAGGATGTGCCCCATAGCTCAGGCCAGCTTCAAACTCTTGAGCCTCCTTCTTCAGCCTCCTGACTGGTGAGATTACAGGTATACACCACCAAGAGCAGTTATACAAATAATTTCTGGTTTTTGTTTTTTTAAGACTCTCTCACTATGTAGTTTAGACTGACCTTGAACTCACTGCGTAGCCCAGGCTAGCTTCAAACTTACAGCAGTTCTCCTGCCTCAGCCTCCCAAGTGCCAGGATTACAGGCATGTGCCATCATGCCTGGCACAAATTGTTTGACAACTAGTTAGGATAGAGATCTGTTTCTCATGCCCAGAATAGAAGTAATACGGTTTTGGTAAGTCGTGTTCAGGGATTCTCTGATGGTAACTTACAGGTACCAGTGCATCCATGCTTTTTTCCATTCATATAAGGATGCACACAGACATCTACAGCGTTAGCTTTAGTTTTAATTTGTCCACCACATACTTACTGTCACATGCAGCCTACAGGTAGATGCTCTCACAGTATATACTTGGGCTCAGCTGCTCACTCCATGGGACTTGTATTTAAGTGAGTCACTAGAAATAATTGATAGGTCTAAAAGAAAGGCTTCACTAAAAATATAACAATGACTAAGCAATAAAATAACTGAAGAATTGTTTCTAAATCATGTATTATGAAATCATCACAAACTTTCAGAAAGAACAAGAACACAGGGAAGATTAATGTGAAGATTGGCACTGCACTAGAAACTTCCAGATGAGAAACACATTTGCTCTGATGTTATCAAGAGATAGGAAAGATGATGGTTACTTAGGTAGATACAGGATCAAGGAGAGCAGAGAGATTGTAAAGACATCATCAGACGCTCCCCATTTTCATCATTTTACAGTTTACAAGGCTTGCACCTTGGTCGTCTTATTGAAGCTCGGCCTCTTACAGTTGGTACAGCAAGTGACATCATCTGACCCTAGCCAGGGCTCCCGTGTTCTGGTGTAAGTTTGCACTCTGACTTCCACACTCCTTCCCCAGCCTGCACCAGCCTCAGTGGAGTGGGAGAGTTTATGTTTATTCTCTTAATTTTTGTGCATACTGCATTGAAGTCACATGCAGCTAACTTTATTACCATCATGTGTATGTTGGACCGGAAGCAGGGGACTCTGGCAGAGCCTGCCTTCTGGAGGTCACAAGTGAAAGCTCAGGGAAGTTGTGGTCCCTTCCAGCACGTGACTGTGAGGTCTCCATTACTTGGAAGCATAGAAAACAGAGAAGGTTTGGGGTACCAGTCCTTAAAAAGTACTCATTGAAAAGAATATGATTAAAAATAACAGTGAATGCTGGTATCTAGCATGATCCAACTGAAAATCAAGTTTTGTTTTTTTCGGTAAAAGCCATTATGTTCAGGGGCTGACCGTCATGCACCGACTACTGCCAGGAGTGGGGACAGCCACACCCAAGCCTCTCTCAGCGAGTCAGCGACATTCCCGACTGGGAGGGGGAGAGATCCAGGCCTCACCAGGAAGCTGTGCCGGCTAGGAAACCATATGTTTTCATTGTTTGTTAGGTTGGGTTTTATTCTCTCTCTCTCTCTCTCTCTCTCTCTCTCTCTCTCTCTTGGCTTGATTATGTTAAATCTGAAGGCAGGAGCAGCTATTTGAAAATAACAAGACATTATGGTAGCCATTTTGGATTGATTAGTACTTGTTTTGAAGTCCTTTATTGCATTCACTGTTTTGGCTTTATTGTTTCTATTCTATTCGATTCGATTTTTACTGTGTTCAAAAGTATCTGCAGCTATTTTGAAGACAACAAAAGGCATTATGGTACTATTATTAGTTTTGTAAGGTTTTGAAGTCCTGCATCACTTATGCTGGTTTATTTTTTATTGGTTTTATTTTGTTTTATTTTCCTTGGTTTTATCCCCTTTAAAATAAAAATTTTTAAAAAGCCATTATGTGGCCAGGCATAGGGCACACATCTGTAATCCCAGCAGTCAGGAGGCTGAGGCAGGAAGATTTCCATGAGTTAGAGATGAGCCTGGGCTACATAAGCAAATTCAAGGCCAACCTGAACTACATACTGAGACCCTGTCTCAACAATACATATATACATACATACCTCATCCTGTGTACACATCCACCTTATTCTTTGGATCTGGCGTTGTGTCTGGCTGTTTGCTGCAATTCAAAATGACCTAAAAAGGTAAAAGTTTTGAACCAATGTAAGACATTGAGGCAGCCACACATGGGAGCCCAACTAAAGACAGTAGTGAGAGAGGACATCTAGAACTGCTCAGAAAGTGGCACGGATGATAAGGACAGTTCTAAGACGTGAGGGGAGAGGGTGAGGCGATTATCAGCCATGTGTCTTTTACTCTATAAGTATTTTAAAACTTTAAAGGAAAAGTACTCATTGAGACTGTTGTGAGTTTCCTCTTTGTTTTGTTTTCTCTTGTCTGTTACTATCTCTTTGGTTATGAGTTTGCTGTACCTAGAAGACATCAGTTTGCAAAGCTATAAATCTCTCAGTCTCATTGACATGGCTTTCATTTCAAATTAATGTTCAGCAAAGGAAGAGGAGACAACCTTTTCAGGCTGGGTTTCCCTGTAGAACAAGGACTGGATTTCTCTATGATTTGAACAGGCTGCCAAAGCAAGAAAGAGAAGTTAATTGTGTAAATCGATGCAGGCAAGAGCTGGTCACCTTTCTGGAAGACAAGACATTGCAGCACACACGCTCCAAATAGATCTTTTGGGTCAGGCCGATGTCATGTCGAAGAATCAATATTTACTGGGCTTCATCGAGTTAGCCTTTAATGAACCTCAGGCATTTTTCTAGGCCATTAATTGCAGGAAGAGAAAGACAACAGTGGCTGAAGTTCACGGGTGCAGGAGAGGGTATAAAAATAAGTAAAGAGGCCGTCACCGCCAGGGTGCAAAGGTCCCCCTTAAGTTCCACTCTGGCAGTGCGGGGTCCACCTGCAGTGTGGGGCGGCGGGTGTGTGTATGTGTGTGTGTGTGTGTGTGTGTGTGTGTGTGTGTGTGTGTGTGCTGTTCTACAGGCCTTCTGACATTTTAAGAAAGAGCAGTCCTTGAGTCCTGCAGAGGAAGGAAGCCCTTTCCTCTTGGATGAATTCTGATGTCATCTTGGATTCTGCTGTATGAAAGTGCAGATCATGCGGCAAGGTCCCTCCTGAAGCGTGGCTCCTCAGTCCCCCTGACGCACTGGAAAGCTCTTATAAAGTGGAAGATTGTCCTAGTGCTTGATTTCACTAGGATGAAGGTTTTTAATAAATACCACTCGGACTTGTTTAGTCATTCAATGGAAGCGTTCCATCGGTGGGCTGGCGCCACCCCTCTTGTGGGCCAGCAGCCCCGGCTCCTGTCTGTGTCGGTCTGTGCTCCTCTGCTGACGAGGTGAGGCCCGTGTTCTATCCAGTGGTAAAAAGTAGGACATGGGTGGCCAAAAGGGCAGTTAGGGGAAGTCCATGCACGTGCAGGCTGCTTACTACACATCTTTGGCCATAGCTGCTCAGTAGGTAGGGTTGGGTGTGACTTTGCAGCCTCTTTCTCTGGCGCATTTTGCTAGGAGAGTCTAGAGTTATCATCAGGGAGGAACTGGCTGTTCTTCCCCGACCCAGCCCCCTCACGGGACCCTCACTCACAATGAAGCCAAAGAGACGAACAGGAGCGGCTGGGAGGGCTTGTCGTGGTTTGGGGTTTGACACAAACGGATGCTTAGTATTTTCGCCTCTCATTCTCAGAGTCATTCATTCTGGGCCCCCATTCTTCCTTTCCAGTTGTTTGAGAACTTCCACTTTGGCTCTCTGAAGCTCAGTTCCATCCACATCTCTCAGCGGTTCACCGTGGACAGCTTTGGGAACTACGCCTCCTGCGGACACATTGACTTCTCCTGAGGAGGACCCTCACGAGGTGCTGAAGGAGAGGGTCCGGTTTTCATTCCCAGGATGGGGGCCATGTGGAAATTGGGGTGGTCATTTCCCTGGGCGGCTCCCCCAAACTCACTGTCACATCTGATGATTGTCCACACTCACCAGCCAGCCAGCTCAGAGCGGGTGGGCACTAGGAGAGCCTGTGCCTTTCACCCTGGCTTATTCCGGGTTTTTCCTTCCATTGGTTTTTCATGTAAAATACACAAAACATAAAGTTTGTTGTCTGAAGTTTTTGTGTGTGTGGTGCTGGGGGTGAAACCCTGGCCCAGTGCTCTACCTCTGAAGTGTACCCTCAGGGGCTTCCCAAGTTGCACAGGCTGGCTTCTGACTGTCAGTCCTCTTGCCTCAGCCTCCGAAGCAGCTGGAATTACAGGACCGAGTCACCAAGCTCACTTAACAATTTGCATTTTTTTAAAATCTTTTTGAGACAGGGTCTCGCTATGCAGTTCAGGCTGTCCTTGAGCTCACTTTGTAGCTCAGGCTGGTCTCGAACTTGCCTCAGCCTCCTGCCTCAGCCTCCCCAGTGCTGGGATTACAGGCATGAGCCACCACGCCCGGCTAACAGTTTGCATTATTAAATGCATACATAGTGTTCAGCTATCACCACCTATCTCTATAACTTCTTCCTCTTGTAAGACCTGAAACTCTGTACACATTAGATAGTAACGCCCCTCCTCCTTCCCCTCAGCTCTGCAAACCACCATTGTTCTTTCTGTCTGAGATCGTGCCCACTTTTAATGTACCCTATAAGTAGAATCATGTAGTTTGTCTTCGTGTGACCAACTTATTTTACCACTAGTTTAATGTCTCCAAAGTTCCCCGTGTCATGTCATGTGGCAGGATTTCTTTCCTTTTTACAGAAGAATAATACTCTATTGTGTGTATAACCTTCATTTTGCTCATCTATTTATCCGTCAGAGTGCCTGGGTCTTGGCCACTGTGAATAGTGGGTTGTGGACACTGATGTGCAAGCACCTCTTCAGGATCCTGTTTCAATTTCTTTACTACCCAGAGCTTTATCTTTATCAAAATGACTGTTAAAAGTTACTGAACTCACCAGCTGCGGTGGTACCTGTAACCCTAATACTCTGGGAGGCTGCAGGATCACAAGTATAACTCCATCTCAGGCAACTTAGTGACTTAGGGAGAAATCTCCAAAAATTTCTTTAAAGGGGGAGTGTGGCTCAGTGAGCAGGCCTGGGGTTCAATCTCCAATACTAAAAAAATTAAGATCTTTAATAAAACTGTTACAAACTTTAAAGTTACTCTGTCTGATCAGTCCATGTTCTCCTAAAGTTGGTCCTTAAACTATTTGTTGCCCATCCTCACCCCCGCTTTCCCGTACCTCTGCTGGAGTTACAGTATTACAGCTCTTTTCTGTTTTTCTCAGGGTGGCTGGAAAGAAACGATGGCCTCCGCAGGACTGCGCAGAAAGCTCTAGAAGAATGTGAGCTGCTCGGCCCTCGGTCTCCACTCCCCCTCCTCCTCCTCCTCCTCCTCCTCCTCCTCCTCCTCCTCCTCCTCCTCCCGCACTCCTCTTCTGCCTGTTCCTCCGGCCTCCTTCTCAGCTCGACTCTGCCTTTCTCTTCTTGACTTTCCCTGAACCTGAACTTAGCAACTTAGGCTGCTGAGTTGCGAGGACGGTGCCTGGCATCCAGGGAGACCACACAGACCACTGGTGAATAAATGCATTTCCACAGCAGCCATGCTTCCTGCGAGTCTGTGCATGACAGGGTCACCACGCCGCTGCCCCACTCGTGTGGGACTTACATGTTAATGCCTGCAGGATCACTTTCTCCCCAGCGACCTCTGCCTCTCCTGGTGGAACTGTGTTATTTGAGGTTTCATGGTACCATGTATTAACATGTGATGTCATTTCACCTCAGCACCTGGGGCTGTGTGTGTCCTGGGGTGGCCCTGAGTCAGGACCTGACTGGCGCCCAGCACCCCACGTCGTGTGGCACTGCCTGTCCCCCATGTCCTCTCACAGGCCAGCAGGTAGTGGGCCCAGGGGTAAGGATGTCTTCTTTGGGGTGTCAGAGGTTTATGACTTAGGTTATAGGACATCTGTCTTTGGCTTAGTTGTTGGAAAATGTAACATTATATATCAAATACTAAATTCTAATAGAACTGGAAACCCAGAGGATTTTTTTTTTTTTCGTCTTTTTCTTTTTTATCAGTACCGGGGATCGAACTCCCGACCACACACTTGCAAGGCAGGCACGTATGCCGCTGAGCTAAATCCCCAGCCCCCTACCCAGAGGATATCGTCCCCTCTGCACAGAGGCATGTGTTTCACAGTAATTTCCTCCACGTCACTGCCTTTTCACTCGGCCTCTCACGAGTGTACAGTGTCATTCTGGAGGCTCCGTGACATGGTGACACCCTCATTTGGGTGGTTAATGACACATGCGCTCATACATCCTTGTGTTTTCCTTGCTGTATGTTGGTAGATACTGGTAGAACTGGAAAAAAAATTTAATTCCTCTTTTGAATTTTCCTTCCGAAAATACGTAGGCAAGTCTTGAGAATAGTGTGGCACTAAAGAAAACACAGAAAGCAGCAGGTTCTTCTGAAGGAGAGCTTTCATGAAAAACCAACTGTGGTAGAAGGCAGGGAACTTTAGATGAACTTAAAATAATTTTTGCAGATTCAGGGTCCTGCTGATGAGTGTACAGAGCCAGGGTTTCATCTCTTCACCCCAAAAGAAAGAAGGAATAAAAGATTGAAGGTGTCTTGTTACCAGATGGTAATGGTAAACATTTGCCACTGTGTTGCTAAGCTTTTTTCCTGAGTGTTACCACTGAGCAGTTCATTCTGACCTGAAATAACTCATTGTACCTCCAGATTGCTCCCAGCTTGTGAGGCACTGACTTCCCCCTCAGTGCCTCAGAAGAGGCTCGTACTTGTGATCCCAGCACTTGGGAGGCTGAGGCCGGCAGAGTGCTGCAGGTTCAGGGTTAGCCTGGGCTACACAGTGAGTTCAAGGCCATCTATAAACTTGCTAAACTATATAGCAAGATCTTAGCTCAAAAAAAAGACTCCTACCACTATCGCCTTATAAAATCTTTGTTGCTGATACAGGAACTTTGGGATGGAAAATAAACATTTTTGGAGGGCACACAATGAGTTTCCCTACGTGAACTCCATTCTCAGGGTGGCTGTAGGATAAATATCACTCAGAATGGTTATGTTTTAATTGAGGCCCAGGGTTTCTTAAACTGGGCATGGGGTTGTAGCGACCCAGCTCTCAGCCTGTGATCGTGCTCCGTGCTCCTTTCCTGGGGCTGAGGGGAGCCCGAAGGCAGCAGAGCTACACTTGGGGAGCAGAGCCCCGAGGCAGCTCCACCTGGGCACTACAGGAGCCGATGTTACAGCCCAGGCCACTGGGGTGAGGAAGGAGGTGTGGCTGGGTCTTACTGATAGTTTTCTCTTCTCTTTGAACTTTCTTTTTTTGAACGGACTTGCCATGTCATGCTGGTTTATTCACTGTGTAGCCCAGGCTGGTGTCCAATTTATGACCATTCCTGGGATTATAGGGATACACCAACAGGCTTAGCTTGCCCCCCCCTTTTCTTTTAGCAAGGAAAATGACTGTATTTAAGAAGCCAGCCGGTCAATAAGAGGAAGGACTCTGGTCCAAAGGCCATGTTGCTGGGAAGCTGATTCAGCATTGGTTTGCATGGGTGGTAATGGTCACCCCAAGACAGCAGGCTCTTCTCACACAGGTGCTGGGTCCTTCACACAGCTGGCCCAGATGTTCTCCATCTGCTCTAAGCCTTCTCACCAGATGTTTTTCAGTTTGGGCTTTGGGTTGCTCCCTTCTCCTGCTGGAGTTGGATTCCATGTTCTTGTCTTGAACAAAGAACTGAATGACAAAACACAAAACAAGAAGTGGTAACAGTTTATTTGAAAAGTAAAAGTGAAGATGAGGGAGAAACTGGCTCTGCAGAGTGACCTTGGGCAGGAAAGAAGAGAGAAAATAAAAAAGTACAACCTAGAGGACACAGGGCGGGCTACCATGAGGAATGCCGTGCTGGCCACCTTTCTTTTTTCATAAAAAAACTTTTAAAGGTAAAATAAATTCACTCTGAAAAAACATCAAGCATAGAGCTTCTATGAGTGTGTGATGATGAACTTCATCTTATTTTTAAATTTTTTTAAAAGGGAATAAAACTGAAAACAACATTGAATTTCAGCAAGAAGACAGAAGAAAATCCTCTATAGTTTCTGTGTTGTATATTGTTATCCTCTAAATAAATACTCAGACTACCCGCTTTATTAGCCTACAAAGTCAGTCAAACAATACAAGCAAAAAGTTTTGGTTCTCACCTCAGTTGCTGTCATCTCAGCCTGTGTTCCTCCAGGTCAGCCAGTTGCTAGGGGTTGGGGTGGGCTCAGGGCAGCAGTGCGCTTGTCTCCCAGCCCAGGCGCTGGCTGGCTCACAGGAGGGCACAGGCTGGCTTCTTGGTTTTCCTCCCAGCTCGTGACTGCCACAGGCTCATGGGAGGATGCAGGTTCAATGAACTTCAGTTTAAAACAACAAAACACAATGAACTTCAATCTAAATACTTGAGTTGAATTTTGTCACCAAGAGGTAACTACCCATTTGTGTTTAAGCACATAACTAATAATAAAAGTGAGGTAATTTTACACAAATAACAGTGAAGATAAATGGAATATTCACACTTGTCATGTATTTGTGTGTGAATTCAGTCTTTATAGCAATCCTTTTACCTTGGTATAATTATCCTAGTTCTGCAATTTGAGGTTTAACAACTTTAAGAAATGTACCCAAGGCCATACAGCGTATACTTGTGATTCTCAAACTGTGGGCTTTTGTCTCCTGAGGATCCCTGAACACCTTTTAGGGAGGGATCTGTGAGTCCAGACTGTTTTCATAAGAGTAGGAAGGTGGACTGGGTGTGGTGGTTCACACCTGTGCTCCCAGCGCTCAAGAGGCTGAGGTGTGCGGACCGCTGTGAGTTCAAGGCCGACTGAACTGCATAGTGAAGCCCTGCCTCAAAAAACTTTTTTGTGTTCTTTGTGCAGTTGTATAGCATGGCAACCTCATTCTAGTGGTTAATAGAATACCCATTTGTGTCTTCTTGCGGTCTGTAGAATTTTGTGAGTGGGTAGGTTTAGGTATAAATGTATATTTTCAGAGATTTCATGCAGTTTGCCCTTGTCCTCTATTTTCGCCCTCGCTGGCTGTTTTCATCTGTGTCTGTATGGGTGAAGTTGTGTCCTCCAGAAGGCCTTTGTGGAAACCCTAATTGCCCAGTGCCTTAGACTGTGAGTGTATCTGGAGATGGGAGGATGGCAGAGAGAGAGAGATCTAAGTTAAATGGGCTGCTGAAGGCCCTGACCAACCTGGAGTCCTCCACTAGATGATGAAATGTAGACACAGGACAAGTGCGTGCGGAATCATGAGTGAGGACATAGGGACTGAGGCCGTCCACAAGCCAAGGACAGCCGTTTCACGAGAGACCAAACCTCCTGACACCTGGGTTTTGAACTACAATAGTGGCCTCCAGAGTTGTGAGAAAATAAATTTTAGTTGTTGAAGCTGAGTGGTCTGTTTGTATATCGTGGGGTGGCCCTGACAACCAAATACACTGCTGTCGTGCAGAATCCAGCAGGAGAATAGAGCTGGCTCCTGCCAAACCAGGATGGACGAGACTTGTGAACATGTCAAGCAGTCCCCTACCCTAATGGGGGTGGGATATGTTTGTTTCTTGTAAAATATTTTATTTTGGTTTTTGTTAATATATTGGTATATTGCTATTTTTAAATTAATAGAATGTTTAAGCTCTTAGGTAGCAACAGCCTACTCAATCATGGACTAACGTCCCTGAAACCGTGAGCTGATAAACTCTTCCTCTTTAAAAACTGATTAGCTTATGAATTAACACAGTGATCTTTGTATTTCAGTGTACTGGAGACAGGGACTAGTGCATGATAGCGTTCTTCTGTGGACTTACATCCCCCGCCGCTAACCCATGATCCTCCATAATGAGCTTGTTCATGCAAGAGTCTGTAGTTGACTACACTGATTTTCAGCAAATGCAAACCAGTGCCATTTTTCTTTTTTAAATGTGCACAGTCATCCTTTGTACGTGTGCACACACACATACCCATTCTAGGCATGCCATACCACTGGAATACATCGTTATCCCTTTTTATTTCAAGACTGGGTCTTGCTAAGTGCCTCACACTGGAGATCTGCCTGCCTCAGCTCTCTAGTAGCTGGTGTACATCACCACACCTGACTTGGAGACACACTTGTCAGTGTAATTGTTCCCTGACTAATGGGCATGGAGTTGATTTCTAGGGTTGGTACTATGAATAATTCTGGACTGGGTGACTCTGCATTTATCTTTTTGCACTTGTAGGATCATTTAGACTTGGGATTAAATGGTCTTCTAGATGTAGTTAAATTTAGATTTCTTTCTTATTAAAAACCAAAAAATTTCTCTCTTCTTTGTACTGCTGAATATTAAATGCTAAAAAAATGCATCAATATATGCATCATTTAACAGATACATCCAGCAGCGTCTTGGGTTTGGGAACACTGGTTTTCAAAGGCTGACTTGCTAATTGAATATTAAGAAAATCTTTTCTTCTTACTGGCTGAAATTATCAGCCATTTTCTACAGCCCTTATACCGATTGTCTGGAAATTTGGTTTCTCCTGTCTGAACAGCTTCACCTTTGGCTTAGCTAACAGGCTTGGGTCATGGTGATTTGCTTTCTGCACGGGGCCGGTATTGACCCAGCTCGGAGGTGCAGCAGGAGGCTTGTCTTGAAGGAGCTGGCAGGGGTGTGGGAAATGCTCTCTGCATCACAGGCCTGAACACAGCTGCGCTCTGAGCATGTCTCATCAGTGCTTTTCCAAACTCTGCACTGGGCAGCTCTGGAACTCCAGCAGACCAGGGCTTCCTAATATACCAGCAGAACCGGGGAGCAATGGTATTTGGGCTTTATCTCCTCCATGCTTTGACGATATCTTTACTAAAAGACCAGGATTGAGACAGGTAAGAGGAGGTGATACATTTTAGTAACTCTTTAGACCTATGAGACATCATAGTCTTCTCTTTCCAACCTGAGGGAAGTAACTTTTTTAAATGCTCATCATGCCCAGGCACTTAATGTTAATGTTACTGAAGCTCCCGGCAGGCTTAGGAGGTGGGTGGTATTACCATTAATGCACAGGTAGAAAATGGGGCTCGCCCACCACACCCCAGCCTGCATCACAAGCGAGCCACTCCACCACTCAGTGCCATGCTGCCCCCAGGGATGGCTGCCTGGGCTGCGGGGTGGGGGTGGGGGGCACTGGCACTAAATCCACCTGTAAAGGCCCCAAGAAAACACGGGAAGAGAGCTATTGTTTTCTGTTTTCCCACGGGATCCCACCCCAGGCCACAGAGGCATTAAAGTTCCCAGCAAGCATTGTAACCTATTTTTTTCCAACTGATTAAGATCACAGTTTTCAGTGCTTTTATTTTTTTTTTCAAGATCACAACCAGCATCCAAGTCTTTTATAAAAACACAATCTGGGGCTTGTGTCCCAAAAGTTCAATATGTTTTGTCCTGTTAGATTATCTGTTTCCTCTCCGATGTATTTGTAATGTAAACCTCACCCTGTTTCTGCTCTGATCCTGGGACTGCTCCCAGCGTCCAGCCTTCCCAACTGGGATGTCAACCTCTCTACAGGCAATGAGGAGGGTCACAGATTTAATAAAAACCTAAACCCCTCCAACGAAACCGGTCGCCTCCCACCCCAGCGTCTCATTGAATCCAAAGTGAGGTCCAGATTGTGGGCAAATGTGCCTTTTCCAGAGTCGCAGCCTCAGGGCAGATGAAATGCCCAGACACTGGCCTTTTAGGGTTGCCTTAGGAAGAGCTAACAAAAGGGGTGACAGCCTCTAAACAGCTGCTTGAGGAGGAGGACATCTGCCCCTGTCTTACCAGCCATTCAGGGCGCAGGACTCGCCTAGAAAAGAGCATGCGGCTGGGGCTGGGAGCAATAGTTCTGAGGCTGCCAGTTGTTCCATGGCTTTTGTCTTAAGGAAGCCACCCATGATGGCAGAGCCATAACTCGCAGGAAGCCAGCTGTCAGGGCTGTGGCGCAGGCCCCCGGGGTGGGAGGCGAGGGGAGAAAAAGACAGTCCACGGCTTTTAGACACCTGAGCTGGCCGGCTTTGTAACCGGAGAGTTTTGCGTCTTCTCCCCATCCCGTCTTCCCCAGGGACACCCCGGTCTCATCTTCTCCCTCTCCACTGTGGGAGAGAGAGGGGGCAGGGACAGCTGAGGATTCTGCCTCGTTGGTCTGCAACTCCCCGGGCACCGGGCTGCGCTGCGGCTGCCTGGCCTGGCGCGCTCTCAGCCAGCGCTCCGCTTTGAAATCTCCCCCTCCTTTTTTTTTTTTTTTTTCTAACCAGGTATGATGATGTCAAACGTGATGCCGATGCTACAGTTACAGACACAGCCCCTGCTGGCGCAGCCTCTCTGATTCCCTCTGCCTCTCCGCGGCCGGCGCTGAGCATTTGCAGACGAGCGCATCTCCTAACCAGGTCACATTTCAGCCGCGACCTCCACCGCCAGTCGCCGAGTGGGCGCAGGAGGAGGCCGGCGGGACCGCGGCAGCGCTCGCTGGCTTGGCCCGCAGCGGGCGGCAGGAAGGCGTTACAGCCCGCGCAAGTGGAGACCCCCAGGTCCGAGCCGACCGCGATGCGCGCCCCGGGTTGCGGGCGCCTGGCGCTGCCGCTGCTGCTGCTGGCCGCGGCCGCCCTGGCCGAAGGCGACGCCAAAGGGCTCAAGGAGGGCGAGACCCCCGGCAATTTCATGGAGGACGAGCAATGGCTGTCGTCCATCTCGCAGTACAGCGGCAAGATCAAGCACTGGAACCGCTTCCGAGACGTGAGTGCGCGCAGGGCGCCGGGTGCGGGTGCGGGGTGGAAGCGGCGGGGCGGGGACCCCAGCACCCCCGGCGGTGAGTAAACAACGCAGAGTCCCTGTCGCGCCCCTTCCTATGTCCCCGCAGTCGGGGCTTGGGACCCCCAGAGCCGCCCCCGCCCCGCAGATCCCAGGGTAGAGGACGCTGAGTGGGGGGAGTGCTCGGCGGGCGCAGAGATGGGGTGTGGGGTGCCAGACCGCGGGCCCGGTTGCCTGCTTCTTGCGAGCCGCCCCAGCCTGTCCCCAGCTGGTGCCCCTGCAGGTGGCACATACGGGGCACTGCGGAAGGCGCAGGTCTGGGTGGGGCCGCCGCCTGCCCTGCGAGGGTGCCCTGGGCCCCCACTGTGGCTTCGGGGAAGGGGATCTCAGGTAGGGGGTAAGGGGCCAGGGCTTTGAGTTGGGGGCCCCTGCAAACTCTCCGAGGTGAGGCGGTGGAAGGCGTGTCCGTAGCGGGGAGCGGCCGGGGGCCGGTGTCCTCGAGCCCGGTCTGGGGTCCCCACATAGAGGGGAACCCAGCGCGCACCAATTTAGCCTGCGTTTCGGGACCCAGGGAGGCTGGACCACCGCAAGGGGAGCGCAGCAACTGGAAGGAGGGATGGATCTGCCGCTCGGAGGGCTTGGAAGCAGAGGGAGAGCCCAGGAGCTGGCGGTGGGGGGTACTGGCGGGCGCGCGCCCCAACCCCGGCTTAACCTTGGCGGAACTTTGCGGGGTTGGGGGCGGGGAGGCGGCTGCGGGCGCGGGCGTCGCTGCAGCACCTTGTTTACCGGCACCTGTAGATCGAGGGGGACTCGGAGGTGGCACCCAGAAGGCCCGGGGGGGTGGACGGCCCGGCCCCGGGGTGAGCACGCGAGGGCGTGGCTGGGCCCCGGGAACCCGGGGGGCTGGGTGGGGCTGGGTTCCACTGCAGGGGATGCGCGGCTCTGGAGACCCCAGAAAGCCTGGTCGAGGACCTGCGTCCTTGGGCCTCAGTCTCCACACTTCCTGGGACCCCCGAGTGCAACACGGGCGATCTTTGGCGTTCCCTGTCAGCAGCGTGCTTCCGCGGATTCCTGAGAAATGTCTATAAAGCATCAGCGCTGCCAGTGATACCCTGCTACGCGATGGGTAGAGGCAGGGAAGGAGAACCGCGGCACCAGGTCCCCAGGCTGGGTGGCCTGGACCCCGGAGTGGGCCGTGAGGCTCCGCCGGTGCTTCACACAAGGCTAGCCCAGCCGGGGAACTGGAGTCCTCTCTTGGTACCTGCAGGCCCAGCCCCATCCGCCGCAGTCCCCTGGGCTGCCTGGGCAGAGGCCGTGGGGCCCAGCAGTGAGGGGGTGGAGCCGGCTGCCGGTCCAGTGCCCTGTGTCACCCATCCAAGCCTCCCTCCGACTGGCTGGCTGTTTGATCCTTGGAAATGGGACTGGTGAAGGTCAGAAGGAAAAGAGATGCTTAATCAGAACAGTGGAGGTTTAAAAATAAAATCCCTTCCACCTCCCTTCCTCCACCTGCTTGCAGTAGCCAGCCCAGCAGGTGAGAATAATAACTGACTGACTGCTTGACCCCTGGCACAGGGCTACCCACCTGTCTCCCTGGATTGGTGCCAATAGCTTTCTCCTTCCTGCATGCTCATCAGAAGGGAGGCCCCAGATTAGAAATTCTACAGGACCTATTCCCCTGGGTGTCATGCAGAGCTTTGGGGTATATATTGATGGGGGAGGGGCCTCGGGCTTTGGTAGGGCGGATTCCCTCTAAGGTAGACCAGGCTCCTGGAAAGACAGGGTTCAGGAGAGAAGCAGGCCAAAGAAGGCTGGGCAGGAGGGCCTGGCCATGGGGATCTGTTGGCAGCTTTTGCAGAAAAGCAAGAAGGAGCCAGCGAGCTCAGAACCACAGCATTGCATAACTCTAGTGGAGCCACTCTATGAGTGGTGCCCCCTGGAGTTGTGCAGTGCACAGACGGTGCACAGGGAATCTGGCAGCACTGGTCCCATTCTCCTCTCCAGCAGAGGCTGTGCTGCCCACCTTAGTGAGGCAGGCCCTCCAGCTGGGCACAGCAGCGTCCATGTTTGTACACATTCTCATGGGCCAGCTCTTCTGAGAACGCAGAAGCTTGGCTCCTCAGAGAGAGGGAGAGAGAGAGAAAGAGAGAGAGAGAGAGAGAGAGAGAGAGAGAGAGAGAAATTTCTTTTGAACCCTTCAGGGGCTGCAGGGTTGAGCTGGAGGCCCTATTCATGGTTGAGTCACAAGATGGCACGAGGTCCCCAGTTTGCCCAGGCAGGGGCAAGAGAAGTGAGACATTCTTGGGAAATAGTTTTGAAGGCCTCCAAGGTGTCTTCTTAAATGGTAGTGATGGAACAGAGCGGGGAGATGGTGGCACTCATGTCCAGGGGCTCAGGAAGGTGGAGCAGAGGACCAAAGTGCAGGGAGCCCTCCCCTCTGCAATCAGTCGGGGCTGGTGAGGAGCCGGCAGCTTCGGCTTAGCGTTCTTTCTCGGAGCTCAGGGATTATCAGGGAGGCAGGATTTACCAGCGGAGTAATCCTCCCTCCAGCGGGCGGGCACCGGCCGCACATCCTGGGCCCAGCAGGGCCCTGTGAAGCCCACACTCTGCTGCCAGGGAGGAGGGCAGCGGTGGCCAGGAGATGGGGCCGTGTCACTGTGCCTGGCTCCTTGACCTGAAGATCTGGCTGTGCCCTGCCCTCACAGCCTTGGCCTCTGCTTCCCCTCCCTCCCTTCTCTCCCTCCCTCCCTTGTTTCTTTTTTTTTTTTTTTTTTAATTTCTAAGAACTACTAGGGATTGGACCCGAGGAAACCCTTCACACTGAGCTACAGCATAGCCCATTTTAAAAAATGTTTTGTTTTGAGACAAGATCTTGCCAAGTCCCTCAATGCCCAGGCTGGGTTTGAGCTCACAGTGTTCCCGCCTCAGCCTCCCAGTGTGCTGGGATTACGGGGCGTACCACTGCACCCAACTCCTGTTCCCTAATGTGCCTACCTGCTGATTCACTCCCTACAGCAGAACAGTGTGGGACTCAGGACCTCAGAACAGAGCACCAAGGCCTCCTGGGGGACCCTGGGGAGGAGGTAGCCTCTACACTGACTGTCAGGGTGGGCTCCTCAGAACATGGCCACAAGGAACTGACCATTCTCATTTTGCTGGGCTCTCCTTGACTTTTGTTCTCCTCCTTTATACTACGTGTGTGGGTGTTGGCACCTGGAGTGTCACAGTTAATGGCAGCAGGGTGCCCGTCTCCCAGGCCCTGCAGTGGGCACTTCATAATCAACAACCTGTGTGATTGTTCCTCTGTAGTTTGCCTGTTTTATGATCAAAGAGACTGAGGCTCAGAGGAATGAAGTAACTGGCCCAGGGTCAAAAGCCAGGAGTTGGCAGAGTGGGGTTTGCATCCAGGTCAGCGGGTTGGTCTTTGGTTTTCAGGGTCCTTAGTGATGTGGAAAGGAGAGCCTGTCCTGGAGAACCAGCTACCCCTACCTGCATCCTTCCAAACCCCCCAGATGTCCCAGGCAGAGCAGCACCTCCTACCACCAGCCCACTCCCCACCAGGGACCAGGAACCCCCAAAGACAATTCCCATCCAGGAAGAACTGGGGGTGCAGGGTGCCAGGATAGCTCAGGCCTGGGTTCAGGTTCTGATCCGGCTCAGTTTTTGTTTTCTGCCCGGAGACAGACCCAAAGGCTCAAGTCCAGGGTATCTGAGGGCCCCAGGACTGGAGGGTATCTCTCGTGGGCGGCGGCACTGTCTCCCAAGGAAACCAGCAGATCGATGGAAGCCAGTTCTGGAGCTGGCCTGGGCCTGGCCTCAGTGTCCGAGCCAGGGCGGCTCTGCCTGTCCACAGATTTACTTGGTTGCTGCAGATCTAAGCACTGATGACTTCCTGGTGACCCTGGGTCGGCTCAGGGTCAGCCTGCCTGTAGCCCCCGTGTGATTCTCAGCAGCAGCAGCAGGAGCAAGTGTGAGCCACACAGGGGCTCCCTCGTGACCCCCCCTTAGTCCCCACACACCTACCCGGTGCAAGTATGGGGATGCGCGGCACAGATGTTTGTGGGGAAGTGTGGGTGTGTCAGAACCTAAAAGTGGGTCAGAAAAGATTCCGCAGTTGGGTTGGGTCCTTCCCAGGCCTCCTCCTCCACCTGGGCTTCTAACTGCTCCCACTGCCCAGCTGGCATCTCTAGAATGGTGTCAGCACTATGTAGCCAGGACAGCCCCATATTTAAAGTGATCCTCCTGCCTCCGCCTCCCAAGTGCTGGGATTACAGGTGTGCACCACCACACCTGGCTGGGATGCATATCCTTAGAGAAAGAGAGAGAGACTAGTGCTTGATCCCTCTGCCATTGAGGACACAGACTGAAGACTGAGGGGGTCCTTGAAGACCAGGTGGGACTCTAAGCCTGGGAAGGGGAGGGGGAGCCTTGCTGCGCAGAGAGGCTGCCAGGTGCTATGTGTTCCTCTCATCTTCCAGGAGTCTGAGGAGGAAGAAGGGCCAGCAGCACCCCATTCTCCAGGAGGGCAGAGGCTCCCTGAGGTGTGGGAGAGCTCAGGGAGGAGGGTACTCTCTTCTTTTTCCTGGTGAGAGGACAGACCAGCTGTGTGACCTTCAGGCAGCTGCTTTCCGTCTCTGGGCTCTGAGTTTCCCATTGGTATAATGGGCAGGCTAAATAAAACGACCCACACAGCCCTGGCCTTCTGCGACTCGGGAAAGGTAACCCAAGAGCTGTCAGCGGCCGCTCCCGCCGGTCATGCTTCACCCTGTCCCCTCACCCACTGCTGCTGACTGAGAGTGCCCCCCAGGACCTGTGCCCAGGTCAGGGTTGGGTGTGTATTGCCTGGGGACTGAGAAATTGGATCTCATGGCATCCGGGGCAAACCCCAGGCTGGGACACATGCACAGGCCACTGTAGTCACTGTGGGCAGCTGTACCAAGAGCCTGGAGTAGAGGTGAGCTGAGCTCTAAGTCTAATGAATTTCTTAG